GTGTGTGTGTGTGTGTGTGTGTGTGTGTGTATATATGTGTATGTATATATATATGAATTTTTTTAAATATATTATTGGGGAAAAAGGGGGCAGAAATTAGATTTTTTTCTTCTTTCTACTACCTTTCATTTTATTTGATTTGTAGCCTATATATTTTTTCTTCCATTGTATATAGGTGTTTTGTTACTAATGAAATAAAGAAATTCCTAAAAAAAAAAAAAAGAAAATAAATTGCATCCCTAACTGATATGGTATGTGAGAGATAAATTGCAAATATAAATTTTCATGTTTCTATTGGATAACGTCAGCAGAATAATGGATTAATATTGGATGACTCATCATACTCTACTGTAGTTACCTCTGAACAAACTGATCAGGATCAGGTTAAGATTTATATCCTGGGTCAAAGCTTTAGTGTCTTTTTATTTACTGACAAGTTCCAGCAATTTTAAAGCGTTCTGTTGAAAAGTTGTTTAAAAATATACAGTATATATTACTGTTGTTGGTAGGTCTCTGTAAACAGATCCAGTTAGACAAATTGAGGAGTTTATATCCATCAGGAGTATTAAACTAAAAACTACTCTGAACAAATAAAACCAAAGTAGATTGCTGTCATCTTTAATTAAAGCCAATCTAAAGAAAACCCAAACAATCATCAGGTCACACAAAAATAATTTCATAGACTACACCACCTTTAATTTCAGTTTTAAATGTTTCCCATCCTCTCTAACCCCAGCCGATGGCTGCCCATAGTGAGCCTGGTTCTGGTGAAGGTTTGGACCTGTTTAAAACGTCCTGTGATGCTCAGGATGGGAATTTGTGATGAAGATTCAAAGCAATCTGCTCTCTTCCTTAAATAAATAACTTACTAACTGGCATTTTTATAAATCTATGTGAATGTTTTTGTTTTTCACACACATCGTAGAACCATTTAACGTTCTGGCCAGGCCTGTCACTTCTACACAAGGCTCCCAACCACCTCCCACAAAGAGACAGAATGGATATATTATACATTTCCTGAACCCTTAGAGTCCTGTGAGTATTGTAGTAATTGACTCTTCGGTCCCTGATGCCCTTGGATGTCACAGAGCTAAAACTAAATATTTAATTTGGGCGAAAATTGCAAAATAATGTGTCTCTTTTCAGTCACATTTATGGTGGATTGCATCAACTCTTCCATTGAATGAAAGGAAGCTTCACTGCTATGAAATGTAAATCTGTCAAACTGTGTTTGATTACTCTGGCTTTCCTAAGGACCTGTATGTGTGACACAAAAAATGGAATTGAAATTGAATTATAGAACTGAAAGTGAAAGAAGTCAAATGGAAGTTTTATTACAACAAAAGACAGTGTCAAAGGAAATTAATTCAGAGTTACAACTTTAAATTTAGATTCAAACAAGTTCAGTTACAATTTACTGAAATTAATTTTCAAACCAATACATTCAATTTCAAATTATGCAAATACAGATTCAGTCAGCAATTCATGATCAGTTTCTGAGGACAAGTTTCTTCCAGTACTTTTCAGGCTACTGTCAGCACTTCATTCACTTATTCTGTTTTTTCCCCCACTTCAGTAGAAAGTAGAACTAAATATCTGAATATTAGTATCTTAGCTTCTTCATCATCAGTGGCTTTTTTTATAGGAGAAAAATAAAGAGAGAGAAAAAAGTGAAATGTAATGAGAGAGTGAAAGAGAGATTAGAAGATATGTAAAATATATGTTGAGAAAACACAAGACAGCACACCGGACTTCTCGGCTC